TATATATATATATATATATATATATATATATATATATATATATATATATATATATATATATATATATATATATATATATATAGTTAGAGGGGCAAAATATGGTTTTGGTTCCTCATATTTGCATTGATTCACATGTTTCAAAAATTCGACACTTTTAGTCATTTTCGTCAATTTTTCGTTAGTATTAAACCAAATCCAAGCGTGTGGCCGTTCTTGCCTTAACTGAAAGAGTGACGGTAAATTGACAAAAATGATCAAAAGTGTTCAATTATTGAAAAATAAGGGACCTAATATGTTTTTTGTGAACATGAGTGACCAAATGTAAAATTACTGCAACCTTGAAAGATGAGAACTGCAATATTCTTATATATATATATATATATATATATATATATATATCGCGTTAATAAAAGCAGATGACGATGCCATTGTACTACGGACAAAGCTGAAATCGCACAATTTATCACAAGATCTAAATCAAAAAAGTAGAAAAGCCAATTAGAAGGCAAAGAAAAGCAGCAATAATTCATACACGAATTTCGAAGAACAAAATTAAATTAAAAATATAATTAATGCAAAATTCACAAGTAAGGGGCTGTGATCAGAGGCTACGGTGGCTACGCTGTCAATTCTGGATTTTCCATGTCTGTGCTAACTGACTGATATGGGCTAGTTTGACAAATAACAAATAAACATAAGCCCATTAGGGTAAGCCCAATATGATAGGCCCATAATGAAGAACCCATGATGCCTTAGCTCGGTCCTATGAGCGAAGTCGTCGTATGGCGCGAACCTCGGAACTACGTGGGAGTACCTTAACTCGCTAGCCCAATACCAAAACGAGGTAAGGCGAGCCCAGGACAATACAGGCCCAAGATACATGACTTGGGGGAAAAGAGAAACCCTAAAAAAGGAAAGCCTTGAGAGGCCAAGCTTTCCTCATCTATAAATAAGAGAATCAACACACACACACACACACGAGATTTTTACACTAATCACTGTTACATTGCATACACGTTTTTTCCTCTATTCCGATCACTGACTTGATCGTCGGAGCTTTCCCGCCGGGAACCCCTCCCGGCGTTGCAGGTTTATTCACCGGAGTACGGACGGAGCTGGCTTGAGGAAGACGAAGACCTACGGACAAAATCAAGTGGCGCCGTCTGTGGGAAAGATCTAGAAATCTTGGGGATAACTTCCGGGAAAATATCAGATCTACCCCCCGGAAGTCCAGATCTGAGCTATCGACGTAGAGAACAATGGAAGAAGGAGATATCACTGCCCGGAATTTGCAGAAGGATTTGGATGCAGTAGCTCGCAGAACACCGGCTGATCCATCATCCGTTCAGAAAGATAAGTCGGGGTGG